CAGTGAGGATTCCCATGAAGATGGGAGTGAGGTGACCCTGCCTCCCTCCCCTGGACTTCTAGTTCACCAGCCCTGCAGTGACCCTAGAGGTCTAGTAGTGGGGTTAGGAGGGAGGTTTTGAATCAGGAGTTTCCGGGGTCATATCTTAAACTTTCTGTCTATTAGCCTTGTGCACATAAGAACTTTGCTTACCTCTTACTCCCTCAATTCCCCATCCTCAACATGAGGGTAACAGCTCCATCTCATAAGGTTTAATGCTTTAGGAGGAATATCAATATGACAGGTAAGGTGATGTGTGGTATAGTTATGGAATTATAAACTGCTGGAGAGAGTTTGTGTTAGATGCCAGAACAAAATTGTGGAAGGAGTGGGTGATGAGCAAACACAGACCATGATGCATCTCAGAGTCCCATCCTCTTTAAGTTCAGAAACTCAGTATTCTGTACCAGAATTCCTGTGCTTTACGACACATCCCATTGTCTTCCACACCCCTGACCCCAGGGAAGTGAGGACAAAAGAAGGCTCTAGGTGTTTTCCCTTGGGAGTTGCCTGGGATTTTACTGGCACATGCTGAACACACAGTCCTAGGTGTGTGCCACCCACCTGATTGGAACAATGGTCCAGGAAGTAGACAGATATGACCCAAAGGCTCCCAGTGCCTGGGAGGAGCCAGATTGAGCCTTATAAAGAGACCAGTCTTTTCCCAGATGCACAGGTTTGGTGTATTTGTGGAACAGGACAATCACGTCCTCACCTTCTCCTCAGAGCCTCCTCGTCAGCTTTGGTAAGTCTGCGCCTATCTCTTTCCCAGGAGGTTCCTCAGGGCCCAGTGTGTTCTGCTGTCTGCAGGAGTAGGGAAAGCAGTGATGGGAGAGGATTCAGAAGCTTGGGTCCAGATGTAATGGGGTTCTGCCTGTAACGGGGCTCTGCCTGTTATGGGACTTTGCCTGTTAGGGGGCTGTGTAACTTTATTCCACTGGGGTCCTGAGGATCTCATCTACAAGATGGCTGGACTGGCCCCTGTGTAACAACGCTGTGGAAACATCTCTGGTGGGAGCTGAGGAAAAGACCCTTCCTCTCTCCTTCTCTTCTTTTCTCTCTGGACTCACCTAACTCTCAGACCACGGGTTGGGGAAGACTCAATTTGCACCCCAACCTCCAGGGAGAGTGGGTGTCTCTATCCAAGTTCAGAAGGTTCTCCTGAACCCAAGCCTGGGACTCCCACTCACCTTGCCCTGGTGAGAAGCTCTGCCAGTGTATGGACCAGAAACCCATCAACTAATGTTTTGGACCTTCTGCCCAGCTGAGGGAAAGACCAGTGACATTCTGTGCAGAGGGCTCAGCTCTGACGTTGGCCAAGTTCACAGAAGGCTTTGGGTAATTCCATGTAGGAACATAGCAGCAAGGTTTTTTTATCCTGATGATAAGAAAATATAGTTTTTGTTAGATGCCCAAACATGTGGGCCATACACATTTCTTGAGAGTTTTGGTAAGTCTGGGGTGTTAGGGTTGGACTGTCCCATTTCTCTGCTTGGGGTCCAGACTGTTGGTGGAGGTACTGGCTTTGGGAAGTCAGACCTCTTTACTTAAATGTGGTGTAGCCTTGGGGTTCCAGATAGCAGGGAGGTACAAAGGTCATCTGAAGGAGCCTATCTCCGAACTTTCCAACCAATAGCCTAAAACTGAGGCAGGAATTCCTGTTTATTTCAAACATGATGCCAACACTGGTCAGCAGGCCTTCTTTCCCTGGGATGGTCCATGACAGGGCTGTATATCTCTGCTCACACTCACCATCCTACTCACACTGACTGCTGGGAGCCTCCAGAACTGGTTTCATTTAGAACTTGCTTTATGTTTCCAATGGACTCCTCAGGGGTCTCTTTCCAAGAGCAACCCAGTGCAGGTGAGGCCAGACTAGTCAGGAAGTTATTTTGTCCGCATGACTCTAACCCTGACATTGACACTGGAGGAGTTGGTATTACTGCTCTTAAAGAGTAGAGTCATGGAAATGCTGTGTTTGGTTCAGTTCTCAACTAAAATGTCAGTCCTTTACTATGTGATTGACCCCTACCCTCTCTGCTTCTGCTTCCTGTGGTTCTGTCCACAGTGGGTTTCTGGGTTTTCCTCCATCTCCTTTGGACCCTGACCTGCATGGGCCCAGCCCCAACCTTGGTCACACTCTCCTCCTTGTGAGCATCTCATCCCACCTCCTAGAGTGATACAGTTCCTTCTGCTCCCAACTGAGCCTCACTTCACAAGATTCTCAGTTCCCACCCCGTTGTCCTGACACAGGGTCCCTCACCTGGGGAGAAGGATCACAAAGGTCCCCATCTTTCTCTCTGGCAGCTTCCTTGAAAACCAAGATGAGCCATACTCCAGTTGAACAGTCCGTGATGGACTTGATCGTCCTGTTCCACAAATACACCAAACCTGATGACAAGATTGACAAGCGGGGCCTGCTGAAGATGCTGAGGGAGAATTTCCCTAACTTCCTCAAGGCTTGTGTGAGTCTGGGTGACTTCTCCAGGTTGCTTGGGCCCTGGCATGGGGGAGGACTTTGGACAAGTCAATCCCATTCTCTGATCCTCAATTTCTCATCTGCAAAAAGGCCTAAAAGGACTTTCCTGACTTATTATCAGGATGAAAGAGGTAATACATGTGGCCAAGTAAAGGCATCTGGAGATCAAGGGTAGTTATCAGGTGGTGAAATAGGAGAGTAAAGAATGGGTCCCCTCCCACTTGTCACTCTCCATCCAGGAGACTGAAGCCCATAGGCTCAGGCTCTGCCTCTAGACGCCTCTATTAGGTTCTCTGAGATCCAAGGGAAGGTGATAGAAATTCCAGGGATGATAATATTTAACACCTTTCATTACAATGAAAGATCTCATTCATAGACCTGATTTAGTCTGACAGTTAGAATGCACTGAACTGATTACAAATGAGAGGCTACTAAGTGACACAGAGAGTAGGTTAGCAAAGGAGGCCACTTAGCATAGAAGACTCGGGAAGGCAAACAGGCAAGGTGGTTAAGAATGAAGAGACAAGGGGAAGGGCCTATCTCTAGTTTCTGGGTAGAACTTAGGTAGATGGGGTTCTGGAAGTGGGTCCGAGGAGCAGGTCTGGGTCTAAAGACCACCGAACCACCACCTCATTGATCATTGAGGATCTGGGCTGAGTCTGCCCACCACCACTAGGTCTCTCTTTCAAGCTGACATTTGGTCCAAGGAATCTCCCTAAGTGACCTGTAGGGTAGTGCTAATGTCCCTCTCATCCCCTGATGCCCTCCACTGGCCCACACCAGCTACAACTGTGCGGCCCCAGATGCTTCTCTCCCTCTCTCTGTTTCCTCCTCCTATTCCACCCATAACACTTTTGGAACTGAATTTATCTTTTCCACAGGAAACTGCCCTCCCCTCTCAGCAGGGCCTCTGTCCACCTCTGCCCCTGCTC